TGAGGCGGGGCAGTGCCCTGGGCCGCAGCAGCTTCGCGGTCCATGGCTGCACACCGCTTCAGGTCCAGGCGGTCGGAGCCCTAGAGCTTAGAGGGCTAACCGGCTCTCGGGGGCCCCGCCCACTCCTGTCCGACATCCCCTTGCGGGGTGCCAAACTTTCCCCCGCCGTGCTCCATGGCCGGCTCCGCTCTGAGGTCTAACCCAGGGGCGCTCAGCGTCTCCTTGTACTGGAACACGCCCCTCGGTGTGCGCACACCTCTTCGTAAGCAGCCACGGGCCAGATGGGCGGGAAACAGAGGGGCTTGCGAACGCGGACTGGGCAGAGCGCTTGATGACCTCCTAGCGACGCGCACAGAGAGGAGGGGGGAGGCATAAAGGGGAGGGGGAGTGGAGCGGGCTTCGAGGGGAGGATTTGGAGCCCGGCCGCGTTTAACTCTTTAGTGACACAAATGAAGGGGGGGGAAAACAGGCGAAGTTGAGGGTCTTTGTAATCCCCCTAACCACTCAGTCGTGAGCTGCTGCTCATAGCAGCTTCCATCCTGTGGCTGCTCTCTCACCTCAGCAGCAGGTGAGCCTAGCCTGGGACCAACCTCTTGCCCCCATCTTCAAGCCTCGGTGGGCAAGTAATCCTTTTTATCTAACCCGGGAAAAGAAATTAACCTGCACGGGGTTGGGGTTGGTGTGTGGGTGCACGGGGTCAGGGGAATGGGATTCCACCTCCTTTGAATTGAAGTAAAATTTGTCACCCCCCCCCAACCCTGCCTCAGGTTTTGCATTTCTGTGCTTTGCCAGATCTCAGCGGTTTGTCGTTGGGTACAGGGTTTGGGCTGCTTAGGGAAAGGAGTGTGATGAGGGAGAATTGGAGCCCTGGGTTTCCGCAGCCTGCAGCCCTGAGAGCAAGGCGAGAGTGCCCCGGCAGCGGCAGCTGGGCTGCGCGCTTGGGAGCTGAGGGTACCCTGATCTCCGCAGCTAGCAGGGCAAGTCTGGCTGGGCTTTGCTGTAGAAGACTGCCTTTTGCTTTTAGCTGGACTTTCCAAGCATCGGCAGGACTTTTTACCGAACTTGTTAATGTTTGTGCGTGTGTGTCTTGAGCTGGGAAAAATTCACTGCAACACCCACACCTTTTTCGCCTCCTGAAGCACTCTGGCTTTAGGAATGGGAAATTTTATTGCTACTAGAACGACGGGTCGCTGCCGCAGCACCCTTCCCACCACATCAGGAGACTTGAGAAGCTCTCTTGGTTAGTCACGTACGCATACATACAAACCATCATCTTAGTCAGACCTAGAAGACTTTAGACGCCAATATACTGCCAATTGCAATTAAAATTTGAGAAGACATCCCATCAAGCTACTGTTGGGTGGGGGGTGGGGTGGGGGAGGAATACCTATAAACCTAATTTGAAATATGACAAGTGAATTTATTTCCCACATACATAATGCTGCAGTTGTGGATGGCAGCCCTCCATCTGCAATCCCTCCTCTCTCGCTATCTTCTCCCAGACCATATCCCTCACTAGTTCCCTCTTCTTTTGCCAACCGACACTGACCCGCCCAGAATTATCTAGAACCTGCAGCATTTTTCTCTTCCCTCCACCACGTCCCAGCAGTAAATAATGCCACAGAACACAGTCTCACCTAACCCCCTCCAAAGACCAGAATCTCTGATGAAATCTGCATTTCCCGGATCCTTGCTGCAGCATGGCAACCTAAGCCCACCCTTCCGGAGATGTGTTTCACTGCTTGGCAGCTACTAAGCCTAGTGCAGGGACAATCTCTAACCCTTGGGGATGGAGAAGCCCAGGGGAGGTGAACCCTAGAGTCTCTCAGGTGGCAGGCCTCTCAGTAAATTCACCCTTGTGTCCACCATCTTCACCTTCCTTGGGCTTTTTCTCCTCTCTCCTCCCCAACATTCAAACAACCAAGGTGCCTTTAACCCTAAGAGTTCAGATCTGAAACATACAGGTGCCAGATGTGATCAGCTTGTAAGCCCAGGCTTGGAACTCATTTCTCAGGCTATCACACCTTGGTGAAATCCCTGTCCTTAGAAGGAACCAATATCCTACATTTAAATATTGCTTTTCACGAAACCTTGCCATGTAGTTAGAAGGACTGAAGGCTGAACAGCCACAGAGTAAGATGGCCTCTTAGGTTAGAGAGCAATGAAGTGGGGCTTGACATAGACAATATGTCTGTTGTCAAGCAGGACACAACCAGGGAACAACTTGGAGCTATTGCCTTATGTACGGTCGTGAAAACTCCTGTCTATAATTCTATGCTCAATCACAATGAGTCCAACATCATGATGTAAAATCTCAGTGCAAGGTCAGTTGAAATTGTTTGCATGTAGCTTTTGCTCCTCTAGGGTGGGTTACTGACAATACATTGCCTGAATTATGATACGGTTAGATTTGAGGGTTTTAAAAAATTACTTCTCAGCACATCACAAGCTGTCTTATAGCCTCTGCCACAGTAAAAGGTGTTTGTTCTAGTCTCTCTTCAGACGGCATTGAACATAATGCTTTACATTGGGGAAGGGATGGTCAGAATTGTTCATTAGTACCTGATTCGGGAAGTCACCTTTGTTGTAACTAGTATACATCTTCCTTTTCCCTGTAACCTGTTGGTGTCTGTGTAAGTGTGTGTGTGTGTGTGTGTGTGTGTGTGTGTGTGTGTGTGTGTGTGTGTTTAACAAAGCTTTACTTAGATTCTTGGGTATTTTCCTCAAAACCTAATCCTGTGCTAAGGCCATAGTAAGCAATTCAGGAAATGTCTGTTTAATGGCTGATTCATTGCAGGTTACTGGTTTGGGTGTCTTTTTGCTGCATTGCTTGTTAGCAGTATTTGATATTTCAGATGATTAATGATCTCCTAAGAGGCTCTTTTCTAATTGAACAATACTGATAAAAGGCCAAGAGCTACAAAAAAATTTTCTTCAAGCAGGCATACCAGCGTGATGACCATTTCCACAGTCTTGAATGGCTCCATAGAGACATAGTTCTGGATGTCCCAGGGCAGATGTGGTCCCTAACCTGATACTATTGGGCATGTTGTATAAAAGTAACCTGATTGTGCTGGATGAAGAATTAATCACTATAGTGGCTCATGTCTGTTGCATGTACAATCTTTTATTTCACCCCTACACCCAGCATTTACTCTGATTCCACCCCAAATAAAGTCCATCCAAGTCATCATCAGCCATGCTAGGAGTTCCGGAGAGGCAAAGTAGAAAAAAAAAAAAACTTGAGAAATGTAGCAAAATTAAAAGCTCTTCCTCCTTATTTTCATTTCCTTTTGTTACGAAATGAGAGAGTAACGCTGCAGTGCTAGAATAAAAGCCCCATTTCCCTTAACCAATTGTTTCAAATTCCCTAAGCCCTCCGTTTTAGAGAAATTTGGGAAGAAATCAGTGCTTCTCCTGAGGCTTAACAGGTGCTGACCTCTCCCACCCTCACCACCTTGGCCGTGTGCACAGCCCAAACAGCAGCCTTTATAATAATCTGCTAAATAAAATTAAGAGATGGGACCACGAACAGCATTTACAGAGAAAGGAGAGGATTCAGACAAGTAATTGAGATGGGATTAAAATGCAAGCCTGTTATCCTTCACTCACTCTGGTCTCCTAGGATTTAATTGATACAGGATTGTAGAGATAAAAAGTTAATACCTTGCATTCATATAATGCCTTTTGGTTTTTAAAGTACTTTCACATACAATATCTCACTTGAGCCTCACAACAAATGTGTGAGGCAAATAATCTGGATTCCCACAGCACATCTCCACCCTCTAACCTTTTATAGAGAAGAAAACACAAGTCCAGTGAGATTAAGTGCCATGTCTTAGGTCACAGAAATAATTAGTGTTGGAACAGACATTTAGAACTTATGTCACTCAACTCCCAGCTGAGGGAGACCAAAGCACAGTGCTGACCTGGGAGTTGTGAGACAGGGGCTACGTAAATCCTCTGTGGTGCAGAATGGGTCGCTGTCTTAATGCCCATTTCCTTCTCAGCCTATAAGAGGAGCTATGACTCTCAGATTTGTATCTCTGTGTTTCTCAGCTCTCTCTCTCTCCTAGGGACCCCCAGCCTCCGGACGGTACTTAATGCACTGTTGATCTGTAACGAAACTCACTATAGGAGATCCTTGCTTAGAGGAACATTTTTTGAATATGTATGTAATACAATAATTCATCCAGAATATACTTGTTTTATTGGTTCTGTTCTTATATTTTCTTGAAGTGAAGCACTCTGCAGCTAAGATGCATTTACTGCCAGTCTGAAAGGTGTATGGCTCTGTTAAAGAGCCACTGAAAGTGCTGGGCTTGTAGCTCAGTGTCAGAGCACTTGCCTATCATGTGTGAGGCAATGGGTTCCATCCATAACACCACATAAAAATAAAAAAAAAATAAAATAAAGGCATGCTGTCCATCTACAACTACAAAAATGTTTTTTTAAGGAGTCATGGAGAAGGAGGAGAGGGAGCAGAAATATGTGTCATGATCTTTCCCATAAGGATCATCAGAACTTGGTTGTTGAGATAAATCAGACGTAGGTGAAAACCAATCCAAACACAGATACTAGTTTATAAACATGATATCACACTTTGTATTTTTTTGGGGGGGGGCGATTAGTACAGTGGGAATAAAGTGTGACAGAGTGGAAAGGAAAATGCAAAGGGTGGAAGAAATCTGGCAAGGTTCTACCACTATAACCCATAGCATGATCTTATACTAATTAATATCTTTGGGTCTCAAGTTTTCTCTTTTGAAAAAAATGTATTGGGGGGATAAAGTTGAACTTGATTGGCTAGCTCTAAACTGTTATAACATGAAATATCGATGTTGCTATGAGTGACTTAGATGTGAATCTTGAATAATTCAGTTAACGTGGGTCAGCAAGGTGGAAGTGGAAAGGCGCTGCAGGCAAAGAGAAGGGAAAGCATAGAAACCTGGTAGTGAAAAGGCTGAATGTTTTCTCTGATTAGTGGATGCTGATCTATGATGGGGGGGCATGGGAAGAATGGAGAATTTTTAGATTGGGCAAAGTGGAGAGTGGGAGGAGTTATGAGGGTAGGAAAGAAAGATGGTGGAATGAGATGGACATCATTACCCTGGGTACATGTCTGATTGCACAAATGGTGCGTCTCTACACTGTGTACAACCAGAGAATTGAAATGTTGCACTCCATTTGATGAGTTGAAATGTATTCTTCTGTCATGTACAACTAAGTAGAACAAATTAAAAAAAGAAAAAGAAACCTGGTAGTGAGAATGAGCCAGGCTGATTGAGGCAGAGGGTCCATACCAAGGACTGATGAGAGATGAGGTTAGATAAAAGTGAGTTTGTAAAAGGATTTGGATGCCAGATTGAAGAGTTTGAAGATTTGGTTTTAAAAGTAATAGGGAGCCAACAAAAGTTGTTTGAGTATAAGGATGACATGGTAAAGCCAGCTAGTGAAATAAATTATCCTTGACACTGCACTTTATTCTGGAAGCATCTACAAAGCTACTTTGTTCCCTTGAGCTGATATTCAGTTAATGTGGGGTCATTTGTGAAATCATGATTCTTTCTTGATTTTTGTTGCAACCTCTAGTTTCGGGTCTGAACTGCCAAGGCTTGGGCCAAGCTGCTGGCTCAACCTGCTTAATCACCTGCCTATATATTTGGATTCATTCCATAATGGGACATTTGGCTTCCATGGACTCAACATGCTAATGGAATTCCTAATTTGAAATTCTAAGTGATGATGAATGACCAGGGGATGAGAGAAAGGTCTTTGTAGTCAGGCTGGAGTGTGATGGTTGTGGATCTGAAAGCAGATTAGGAAATAGAGAACAGTTTGAAGGAGGAGAATAAAGAAAATGGATCTTTGCAGAAGCTTAGATATAGGGGAATGAGGATGAGAAATAGCTATTCTGTCCTGAACTACCAAGGATCTAAACTGAGCTTGGATTAAGAAGAGAAAACAGATTGTCCTAATGGCACAGAGAAAAAAGTGGCAAGATTTGGTGTGGAGGTTGCAGGTATGTGTGGGGTGGGGTGATGCTAAGAAAAAGAGCATAGAGCTGATAGTATGACTAAGGTGATGTTTAGAAAGAGTGGAAAAATGTGTTTTAGAACACTCAAGGTGTGATGTCTCTAAACGAAGGAAGGGGAATGCTTGTAATACTCATCCTCAATATTTAAGAAAGAGAGAGAAAGATTTTATTCTAAAAGGAAAAAAAGGGCTGTGGAGTTGTGGCTCAGCAGTAGAATGTTTGCCCAGCACATGTGAGGCACTGGGTTCAATCCTCAATACCACATAAAAATAAATAAGAAATAAAGATATTAAAGAAGAAGAAGAAAAAGCCAGGCATGGTGGTGCATGCCTGTAATCCCAGCAACTCCAGAGCCTGAGGCCGGAGGAGCATTGCAAGTTCAAAGGCAGCATCAGCAATTTAGCAAGGCTCAAAGCAACTGAGTGAGACCCTTTCTCAAAATAAAAACATACAAAGAGCTTAGGATGTGGCTCAAAAGTTAAGAACTCCTGGGTTCAATCCCCAGTACAAGAAAAAAAAAAAATAAAGAAAGGACTCATTTAGTAAGAATTGTCCTTGCATAGTAAAATTATTTTACTACCCTACCACTCTCCACAAACATTTCTTTCTGACACCAACCCAAGGGGAGAAAGTGATAGAGGGAGAAAGAGATAGGGACAGGAATT